AAAAAAATAATAACTGACTCTCCACTGCCTTCGTCGATGTCACGGTCTGGTAGTAATGAGATAAAGTCGAATGGACAACCATTCACATCTTCCAAATCCATCATTTTTATCTAAAAACGCAGGAATCCTCAAAAAATCAAGCCACCAACGAGATCCTCACCCTGACGCGCAATCCAGTCATTATAGGTCTTTCTATAGTCCATTTACAATGTAAATTGTTCTCATAGTTCGCTAAAAAAATTGATATCAATTTTGCAGGAAATCCAAGAAAATCAGAAAATTTGCGAACTTTCTCCAGGAGCAGTTGGGTTGCTGATTTCTTGCCATTCCCAGGTTGGTACCAGCGTGGTTCCGCAAGTGTAGACTGAATAAGAATGAAACTACATCAGTCATGCCTTAAACATAAAATAAATTTTTAGGTGAGAGGGAGGACTTACCCCTTGTAGCATTCTTCTGGTCCATTTCTTCCGTATAATTCGCATTTCTTTTCGGTACAACCTTCCATTCCAGTCGGAATTCACTTCGTGGAGGCGCAAAGAATGACACTTCCATTCTCGAGTACGGTAGATAGATGTCTGGGAAAAATTTATTTGAATTTTGTACTATGTCAAGCGTAGGGACATACCGGCTGGTGGAATGAATCCAGCCACTCTGACACTTCCTGGTCGGCCGTTATTCAGGACAAAGTTCACGTTTGGATTGTCCATGGCTTCGGAAAGCTGAGAGAGAAAAAATCCGAATTGTAGAAATTTTCTGCATTTCTTGGAGACTCACGAAAAGTCCAATTTTATTGACACCATCGTAGCCTTGGTAATTTTCCTCGGGAATACGAATAGAGTCGATATGAACAAGCAATCCCTGCAAATGTATTTACTTAGATTTTTACCAGAGTTAAGGAGAAAAATTTTTGAACTCACCTTGTCCTGCTCTCCCTCAACAATCCACATGAAGTTTGTATACATTTCTTCGACTACAACTAGTGGTTGCTGGATTATATGTGAAGTC